TCACTGGGTGTCACTGGTTCATGCTTGGTGTGACTGGTTCATTCTGGGATGACTGGTTTACTGTTGGTGTCACCGGTTCTCACTGGGTGTCACTGGTTCATGCTTGGTGTGACTGGTTCATTCTGGGATGACTGGTTCACTCATGGTGTCACTGGTTCACACTGGGTGTAACTGGGTAACTCTGGGTGTCACTGGTTCATGCTGGGTGTCACTGGTTCACTTCTGGTAGCACAGTGTATATACAGGTAGGTGCTCACTACTAAAGCCTGGTAAATATATCAAAACATTGAAGTTACGTACATCTCTTACACAACTCTGTTATGATCATTATGGCTTGTTGTAAATGGTTGCCATTTGCAGTTCTGAGTTACGTTAGAAATATGATGGCTGAATTACCAAAATGCTTGTTCTTGGCCTCAGATGTCAATGATAAAAAACTCGCATGTTACTGCTTATCAATAATTGACAGGAACAAAAATATTTGGTTATTTTACAAGTTGGGTTTTAGCATGAAAAGCACATGTTTCCAGTGTATATTAGAAATGCTTTCTGACATGAGATAGAGATTTATAATAGAACGGTGACACCCAACACTGACGACTGTTATACCAGTGAACATCAAAGGATTTCTACTGGGTTCGCAGCCATATTGGGACCAGTGGTAGAATGGCGTATTTCCCCTGGGGTTTACAAGTTGTTTTTCTGGCTCCTAGCTGGCAGCCCAAAACTCTGGTTGGATTTATAGTATTCATATATAAAATACCAACAAACAACGTCTGCTTTCATCTGTATTGTCTGGTATATATATGTTTAGGTTATAATTAACAGGTAAAAACACATTTTGAGATTACCACACTTAGGTTAAACATGTAGCTGTAGGATTAAAATATGTGATTTTGTTATCATTTGTCTTTTATTGTGAATACCTCAATGTCTTATTGATAGTATTTATGCAAAGCATTGTCATGTGAAAGTAGGATTTAATCAATCATTCCTGTTAATTAACGTTCAAAAGTGCTCTAGAGTAATCTTTTCCTTAACTGTTTGAAACCAACATTAAAACCTCAAGAAATTTATTGGTAACCTGTATATATTTTTACCAGGAAAATATCAGGAATTATGATGACAACTTGTATCTTCACAGCAGGGGAGATATATCAATGTAAGATCGCACCATTTTGTGTTGATATTGGCCAGTTATAGTGATTTTGAACTGACCAATCAGAACAGTATTTTTTAATTACTGCATTCAAACCTGCAGATATTCTGGTCCAGCTGTAGACGAGGTAAGGGTATGATAAGTGGCTGTTTTAGCTTTGGTTCATACATGTACACTACATGTATATAGAGTTATTAACATAGCTATGTCACTGTGGAAGCAAATCGTACCAGATAATAGCAGAAAATGGTAGATTTACATTGAGAAGCTCATTCACAATGGCAGTAGCCATGTTGTCAAGCATGACATCTGTAAAATATATCGCCAAAGATTATGCTAGTAAATATATATATGGCACTTTGCTGATTCAGTAATATTTTGTCATCATGCATATTTTCGTTGTTGTACTTATAAATGTAATAAATAGAAAATTTAATGGTTTCAAACTGAATACTACAGAATACATTTCTGAATATGGCAGAATAACAACGTGTTCACGACTGGAAATATTTAGTTCTGTGTCAAACGTTTCAGAATAACAACGTGTTCACGACTGGAAATATTTAGTTCTGTGTCAAACGTTTCAGAATAACAACGTGTTCACGACTGGAAATATTTAGTTCTGTGTCAAACGTTTCAGAATAACAACGTGTTCA